GGAAGGTGTACAGAGCTGACGGGAAGAATCGCTTGAGTTTTGAGCACTTTGTCCTCTCTGTTCATTTATGGAAGCAATTCCGCGTTGAAGATGTGAAGTAAAAGTTTCGTCTGAACTTCCTGTTTCCTGCGAACGCTTGCAATCTGATTTACCGCAGCTTTCAGCTTTAAAAGAGTCCGTTAATTCGTAACGAGAGTTAACTTCCCCTTGCACAGCAGTAAAATACTCAGCATCATAATCCTCTGTCTCTGATTCGTAACCGCTGCTATTGTTACGCAAAACCTGCCGAACTCCTGTAGGAGGTGCGTCCAGGGGGGAATCGGTAACTCTGCTGCGGCTCCTGGAATCATTATGTATACGCTTTCTGCGTTTCCTGTCTGGTTCAAACGTGCTGTCATTACTGTCGCTGCTGTCGTCGGAGTCAACCCAATAAGCCGATCTCTTCCTCTTTCTACTCCTACGGTGCACATTCTCATTGTCACTGTCCTCGCTCATAGTTTAGTCCAGTAACGTAAAATATTACCTAATAATTTGTTTTCGTTTATCCACCTTACACACTGACAGGATTCATATAAACAGAACCGTTAACAATAATTCTTCATGTTTTCTGTTGGTATTCTTTCCGCGGGGAGTGCTTACAAAGTCGTTGCCTAGTAATGGAAGTCTTCTCTGGCTCCATTATTCCGGTTTTCAATGTATCGTAGCAAATATACTCGTTGCTGAGCAATGATTATTTAAATAAAGAGAGTTGCTAGGTATTGGCTTTAACAGTAACACAGGAAGGATGTTCTGAACGCAGTCGATCGATAGCTTCTTGAACCAAATACAGAGGAACTACTGGACGAGGTGTTTTCTATGCGGTACTTGCTGATATGGAACGCATGCAACATGTATTCATCTCTGTTCTATAACATGTACGAAATATACATTTGACGGAAAATATAGCATATTCATGAGAGAAAAACCCATCTTCGCGTCAGAGAGGATGCTACATAAGAACTACTACAGCAAGAGTTGAGTTGCAAAAATAACTCTCGTTGTGGTCCTCAAGGGGCCTGACGCCAAGGTGATCTGTTTGACTGCGTATCGTAAGCTTATATGGCTATATCATTCAATGCATATACCTAATTTTCCTAACTGCTGACTTCTGAAAACTTGAGCTTCAATTATTAACGCCTCCAACGATCCTAAACCACAGACTATCCACTCAATCTACAGGAATATCCCATCATCATTCTTAGTGATAGAAAATACATATAAAACCTAATGTACAACAAATATTCCATTGTTGAGTGCGTATTCCCACTGCGGTTGCGTATTAACCGTACCGTTGTCTAGAAATAGAGCAGTTGAAGGGTGCGAAAGTAAAGTTTGGTATTTATTCCTTTGAGTTCTTCCGTCGACAGAATGACCTTCGTCGTGTAATTGTATGTTCTATGAAAACCTTTAATCCTTACATATTGTGTGTTTCCTATTCCTTCATGTGAGTGACCTTTGTGGTTGTATCCATTACTCATACCGTCAAGTTCCTTGTTTGTGCCTTACGGTACTAGTAAGGTACGAGCAAGGTCTGGGGTTCTTCCCACTAAATAATATTTTTATTAATCTTACACGGGTCAGACTGAGTCCACTTGCTACTGCGGCCATTACTGACCTATTGTATCAGCCCCAGATGATAGATGGTGGTGATTGTGGAGCAATTGGTGGCATGAACATTAGGAGAGGAAACGGAAATACAATACTCGCAGGAAACCTGCTCCAATGACACTTTGTCCCCGCCTGGGCTATGGCACGGCCCACAGTAGGTATTACGTTGTGTAAGTATAAGCCAAATCATAGAGCTCTATAACTTTTTGAGTCACAAATGGATTGTGTCATGCGAAACCAGTCAAGGTAATCCAGTTCATGAACACTGTTCTTGAAACGATTGGTGGTTAGTTCTTGTCTCTTAACGTGGAGATCCACGTGCTCCTTTTCTGATCAATGGCTCTGTATTTTGTCGCATAAGCTCCCTTATGACACCCTCCCCTTGGTGTAGGTTTCTAGAACCTGTCATTCTGTTTAAACACTCCATGGATCATAATGTTTGGTTGCATTCTGTGAGGCACTTATCACGCTGTCATATCTGCTGAAGCATTATTGTAGTTCTGTGTTACTGTCTTACGCTGCCATGTTTTCTGTTCTGTTCTTTTGTTACTGCTTGAGGGAATACTCTTCAAACAGGCTTCTTGTCTGTTAACCTTCTTCTTGTTATATTCTCTTAATTGAATTATTTCTTTTCATTTGTAATACTTAGGTGTGGGAAGGAGAGAATCGAGCCTGTTGAATCCAGTTTAATATTATCTTGGTACTCCTTTTACTCATACTCTAAGTGTTTACTCTTGCACAACCGAATATCACATAAGGAGCACTGTAAACACAACAGCGTAAAACTGGAGACACAGGAGTGACCATGTAGGATTATGGAGTTTTGTAGCTGTCAAATTAAAGTTGTCCCTGTGCTTAACTAATTAAGCCCTATGCCATTAAAGCGCATGGGGGATTTTATGTATAGATCAACATTTTCTTGATCATGAAAAATTCAATCTTCTGGGATAGAACACATTACTTCGCGCTTCATGATCATTTCTTCCTTGACTTATTCTTTGACCCTAAGATGGAGACGATTTCTCCCCCTGAAATGTCAGTTTACTTCAGCCGACTGTATTGTGTTATAGATCTCTTGGAAAATGGTACGGTCTGGATCTTAAGGGTGGAGGGTAAGAGCAAAGAGAGCCTGAAACTGCCCACTTTTCACTGGTCGCAGAACAGGGAGGTCTGGAAGTGGAGAAAATTCTTGACACTCCGACCCCTCGGTCGTCCAGCTCGTAGCCAGTCGCTATACCGTCAGCGCTATCCCGGCTCCTCACGTCCAGCTCGTAGCCAGTCGCTATACCGTCAGCGCTATCCCGGCTCCTCACGTCCAGCTCGTAGCCAGTCGCTATACCGTCAGCGCTACCCCTGCTCTTCTTTTGGAGGATGGATTAGCATTATTTGAAACTTTGCGCATAAAGTGAGACTTTATTAATATTTCCATTTGGCATTATATTAACTTCACAGAATTCAAATTCGCATTGTGCGCGAACTAAAATTGAAACTAAAGTTTCTTGAGAAAGAGTACACAGTTTCAGGACAGTTGATTACGTTGGGGCTTAAGTTTATTGTCAGACGGCGCTGTCGAGAGCTTACAAGTTAGGCTAGAACAGTAGCTATATGAAATTTCCAGCAAGGGTAACAACACATTTTAAGCCGTGTCTTGTGATGTGTGTTCCCTTTTATGGAACATACATCACAAAACACGGTTTACACAGAATATAAGAAACACGCTCCCCATAGTGGAAGAACCACGCGCAAGTTTTAATTAAGACACACAAGATGAATAATCTTAACAAGTTTTAGTGTGTGTAAATTTATTAAAGTTGACGAATACGCAGTTTTTAATACTTTTTAAATAATTTTATAAAGACATATAATGGCAAGCAATGCAATAGATTAGCGTAATTAGGGCATCTGATGATGGCACTATGTTGCCGAAACATGTCGTGAAGTAACAGGTGAAATTGAGTGCACTACAAGACGGCCACTTTATACATATCATGGATGAAAATCAGTGCAACAGGACACTAAAATACAAAATTATTTTTTAGCTGAAGACGACCTCCTGTACAGGAAGGTGAAGTGTTGTTGCTAGAGACATTGTCGTGATTGCTAGTCTTGTGTTTCTTGCGGTAGGCAGTCTCCCAAGAATTCGGGAAACGTCTCTGGCCCTCGATAGTAGTTATGAAGGAGTACCAGGCACCAAACTGAACCAACCGCTGGGAAGTGGTACTTTTAACTACATTCACGGTATTAGTCCTACCGTGAGCTTTACCTTGTATAAGGGGTGGGCCTTCTTGGCCATTGCACCGCGACCACAGTGATCTATTGTGCCTTGAGCTTTACCTCAGATCGAGAGGATTTCCAACAGAATCGTGGTGGGGAGTTTGGGGGGGGGGAGTTTTGCTTCGTCGAGTGTTCTTGAAGAGTCAGAAAAACCAAAAATATTCATAATGATTTTCTGTTCGCTCGCAGGTGATACTAAAGGACATCATGTTTTCTGGTCCACTAAAAGAAGCTCCGTCCTCTGCTGAGAAGTTCAGGTAAGTTCACCAAGTAAATAAGTAAATAAATAAGGGGAAGGAAATAACAGAGAGTGGCATTTTATATTAACATTATTTACCATTGTTTATATCTTGTCGCATGTCAGTGAGTGGACACTGGATTCGGATTGAATATTGAATTTATTGAACGCTTATTTATCTTATCAACTAATAATTACAACATTTCGATTTTTCTGCAAACTCTAAAACAACCACAGCAGACCCCAAGGTTTCTCAGTCTGCTACGTCTTCACGTACTCGTCGTTTAATAGCGGTTTTCAGAGCTGGTGCTACTATTCCTACTTCCTTGCTCAACGGATACTCTCCTCGACGGCTGACTGCTAACCACCGACTGCGTTATTTGGGCTCGGACTGCATGAAGACACGGTTTCCAACAGCTCCTCGAATTGTTGTATGCCTACTAGTTGCCGCGCAGATGGTACACTGAGCTGTTGCCTAAAATATTTGTTTCCTCTGGGTCCACCATTCTCATAGGCGTCATGACGCATTGCCCTCTCTTTAAATCTGTTGGTCTTGAGTAGGCTACAGCGCTACCGTTACCTGTTTTACTCCGTGGGAGGAGGAGTCTCCCTCGTAAGGCTCTAGTCGGTCCAGTTGTACTAACTTCACTCTTAATATGAACACTTCAATAGAACAATCACCTCCAAAAAACTAAGGAGTTACTTTCGGTGCTCCTTCTAAGGGTCCGCTATGTCTATCACTCATGCAGTTAATCGCAGACTTCTTGGAATGGATCACAATTATCGGAGAAGCTGTTCACATTCTGCTAAGCCGAGTCATGTCCTAATATGCATAAACTATTCAGCTTGTAGAATTACAAAGAGGGCACAACCAGTCCCCCGAGTACCTATCTGCCAGGAAAGTAATCAGACATTCCAGGTGGCAGATAAGGTGACATATACTACAACTAATCATGCGGTCCTCGTGGTCAAACTCGCCACACAGTTCACAAAATTGCAAGTTCCGCACAACGGGCCCGAAATTTTCGATTTCTCGCGGTATCGGTGTCACAGGGATTCTTTTGATATACTTTCCGTCCGGGTAGCCTCTAACAATTATGTCGTCAAATACCTTTCGATCAACTGGACAAGTATTCATACGCGTTGACCATTCTTTGAGACAGCCGAAACAGAATATGTGGTCACAAGTGCCTGGTGTCCCAATTTCTTGCTCTGAAAAAGTGACCAAACAAATGGGACACTTTTCTGAGTTACCATCGCTACTGCTGTCGGAATAGCAACCGACGGGGAGAATTTTTGAGTAGGATTTTGGTGGCGTTGCTGTTCCGCCACCCTCAGATGTGGAAAAAGTACCAGGCTGACTAGGGGAAATATAACCTCCTCTTGATCTGACTCCCCTCTCCCCACTTGTGGATGCGACGCCGCCCTGATGAGGGGGAATACGAGCTTCTCTTGACCTTCCTTCTCTTTCTGCACTTGTGGAAGCAGAACCAGGCGCATGAAGGACAACAGAAGCTGGTCTTGATCTTCTCAATCTCTCCTCACGTGTGGAAACAGCACGTGACTGAAGAGGGGAAAAACGAACAACTCTTGATCTTCTTAGTCTTTCCGTTCTTCTGGAAGCAGAACCGTGCCTACGAGGGGTAATAGGAGCTGGTCTTGATCTTCTCAATCTCTCCTCACGTGTGGAACCAGCACGTGGCTGATGAGGGGAAGAATGAACTTCTCTTGTTCTTCCTAGTCTTTCCGTTCTTGTGGAAGCAGAACCGGGTGCATGAAGGACAACAGAAGCTGGTCTTGATCTTCCTTCTCTCTCTCCTGTTGTGGAAGTAGCACCGGGCTGATGAGGAGGAAAGTAAACTTCTTCTGATCTTCCTTCTCTCTCCACTCTTGTGGAAGTAGCACCGAGTTGATGAGGGGGAAAGTAAACTTCTTCTGATCTTCCTTCTCTCTCCACTCTTGTGGAACTAGCACCGGACTGATGAGGGGGAAAGTAAACTTCTTCTGATCTTCCTTCTCTCTCCCCTGTTGTGGAAGTAGCATCAGGCTGATGAGGAGGAAAGTAAACGTCTTCTGATCTTCCTTCTCTCTCCACTCTTGTGGAAGTAGCACCGAGTTGATGAGGGGGAAAGGCAATTTCTTCTGATCTTCCTTCTCTCTCCACTCTTGTGGAACTAGCACCGGACTGATGAGGGGGAAAGTAAACTTCTTCTGATCTTCCTTCTCTCTCCCCTGTTGTGGAAGTAGCATCAGGCTGATGAGGAGGAAAGTAAACGTCTTCTGATCTTCCTTCTCTCTCCCCTGTTGTGGAAGTAGCACCGGACTGATGAGGGGGAAAGTAAACTTCTTGTGATCTTCCCTCTCTCTCCACTCTTGTGGAAGTAGCACCGGACTGTTGAGGGGGAAAGGCAACTTCTTCTGATCTTCCTTCCCTCTCCCCTGTTGTGGAAGTAGCACCGGGCTGATGAGGGGGAAAGGCAACTTCTTCTGATCTTCCTTCCCTCGCCCCTGTTGTGGAAGTAGCACCGGGCTGATGAGGAGGAAAGTAAACTTCTTCTGATCTTTCTTCCCTCTCCCCTGTTGTGGAAGTAGCACTGGGCTGATGAGGGGGAGAGGGAACTTCTTCTGATCTTTCTTCCCTCTCCCCTGTTGTGGAAGTAGCGCTGGGCTGATGAGGGGGAAAGGCACCTTCTTCTGATCTTTCTTCCCTCTCCCTTGTTGTGGAAGTAGCACCGGGCTGATAAGGGGGAAAGGCAACTTCTTCTGATCTTCCTTCCCTCTCCCTTGTTGTGGAAGTAGCACCGGGCTGATGAGGGGGAAAGGCAACTTCTTCTGATCTTCCTTCCCTCGCCCCTGTTGTGGAAGTAGCACCGGGCTGATGAGGAGGAAAGTAAACTTCTTCTGATCTTTCTTCCCTCTCCCCTGTTGTGGAAGTAGCACTGGGCTGATGAGGGGGAGAGGGAACTTCTTCTGATCTTTCTTCCCTCTCCCCTGTTGTGGAAGTAGCGCTGGGCTGATGAGGGGGAAAGGCACCTTCTTCTGATCTTTCTTCCCTCTCCCTTGTTGTGGAAGTAGCACCGGGCTGATAAGGGGGAAAGGCAACTTCTTCTGATCTTCCTTCCCTCTCCCTTGTTGTGGAAGTAGCACCGGGCTGATGAGGGGGAAAGGCAACTTCTTCTGATCTTCCTTCCCTCGCCCCTGTTGTGGAAGTAGCACCGGGCTGATGAGGAGGAAAGTAAACTTCTTCTGATCTTTCTTCCCTCTCCCCTGTTGTGGAAGTAGCACTGGGCTGATGAGGGGGAGAGGGAACTTCTTCTGATCTTTCTTCCCTCTCCCCTGTTGTGGAAGTAGCACTGGGCTGATGAGGGGGAGAGGGAACTTCTTCTGATCTTTCTTCCCTCTCCCCTGTTGTGGAAGTAGCGCTGGGCTGATGAGGGGGAAAGGCACCTTCTTCTGATCTTTCTTCCCTCTCCCTTGTTGTGGAAGTAGCACCGGGCTGATAAGGGGGAAAGGCAACTTCTTCTGATCTTCCTTCCCTCTCCCTTGTTGTGGAAGTAGCACCGGGCTGATGAGGGGGAAAGGCAACTTCTTCTGATCTTCCTTCTCTCTCCCCTGTTGTGGAAGTAGCACCGGGCTGATGAGGGGAAAAACTAACTACTTCTGAGCTTCCTTCTCTTTGTTCACTTGTGGAAGCAGCACCGGGCTCATGACGAGAAAGAAAATTTTCCCCCGAACTTCCTTCTCTCTCCTCAGTTGTGGAAGGAGAACTAGCCTGATCAGACGAAATATTCGTGTCCTCTGAACTTCCTTCTCTCTGCTCAGGTATGGATGCACTACTGAGCTGACGAGAGGAAGCGTCTGATTCCTCTGAACTTCCTCCTACATCCTCAGTTGTCGAAGTTGCACCGGACTGATGAGAGGGAGTATTTACTCTCCCTGCTCCTTCTCCAGTCTCCTCGGTTATGGATGCATCATCAGGCTGACCAGAAGAAGCGTCTAATTCCACTGAACTTCCTTCTGTCTCCTCAGTTGTGGAAGCACCACCCGACTGACAACGTGAAATATGAACTTCCTCTGACCTTGATCCTTCCTCCGAACTCTCATAATCAGGATTTTCACCTCCCTCCGCGCTAGAATTGACATCTGATTGGTGTTCAGAGCAGTCTTCTACTTGCCCAGCAGTAAAATACTCAGGATCATGATCCTCTGTCTCTGATTCGTAACCGCTGCTATTGTTACGCAAAACCTGCCGTACTCCTGCAGGAGGTGCGTCCGAGGGGCAATCGGTAACACTGCTGCGGCTCCAGGAATCATTATGTATACGCTTTCTGCGTTTCCTGTCTGGTTGAAACGGGCTGTCACTACTGTCGCTGCTGTCGTTGGAGTCAACCCAATAAGCCGATCTCTTCCTCTTTCTACTCCTACGGTGCACAGTCTCACTGTCACTCTCCTCGCTCATTGTTTAATCCAGTAACGTAAAATACAAGCTAATACGTTGGTCTCGATTGTACTCCTTACTGCTTACAGTTTGGAATAGGTTCTATAAATAACTCCGTTTTAAACAGTTCCTCGGATGATCTGTGCGTTTTCGTTTACTCGGAGAGTGCTTAACTAGACGCTGACTAGTAATAGACGTCTTCTCCGGCTTCATTGTTACGTCATTGAACGTACTTTAGCAGGTATATCAATTACTAGCAACAGCTCTTTAAAAACAACCGTTGCTAAGTAGTGACCAAAATAGTAACACAGGAATGTTGTTCTTTAATTGGTCTGGGCGTTACCTCCGTGAACAATAGAAGAACAATTGCTAGACGTTTAGTCTATTTGTCAGTGCGATACATGAGCATGCACTCTGCGCCCCGGGAGACCGTACTGGTTAATTCTAAACCTTTCAGTTTCCGGCATTGGGAAGTGTAGACTTCCTAATGCCGTGTCAATACAGAATGCGAGGTTCACTTTATTTTTATGGAGAAACGTGCTTATGGGCATTTAGTGCAGGAGTTCTCCTCTCGATATTTAAAATCCTCATATTTAGAATTCCTGTGGCCGTCCAGTACTTCTTACAGCTGAATGGTCACACTCCTCTCTCAGTACGACGAATCACATAACGAACTTGAAGCTAGTTACGTCCTCGGCAGGCGTGTCTCTAACTGTCCAAGTCCTAAGTACGGGGTGTGAATCCCTTTAAGAACACAGCGGACATCACGCTAGACTTTCGGTTTGCAGTTTTCAGTCGGACTCCTCGCCAGTCCATTCAAGCATCGTGTCCTCCCTTCACGCACTTCGTACGTTTTCAGAGGACTTGAGCTGATCATGGAGCGCTAAGTTCAGCACCTGCCGGAGGCGAGACCTTGTTACCTGCTGACTCCTACTTCATTACTGCAGAGTACATTCACGTCCCTTTATTTTTTCATCATTTAAACTATACTTGCACTTGATATTTTTCTTACCGTAAGCTTGTACGTTTGTGTCATTCAGTGCATATATCTATCCTAAGTGTTCGCTAGAGCTTCAGATATTTAGTGTCCCAACGATCCCACACCACCGATTGTAGGTCCGTCTATACGAGTATCCCATCTCATGCTTCGGGATACAAAACGCGTATAAACGTAACGTCCAACAAATCTTCCATTGTTATATATATTCTTGTCGCGGGAACGTATTTACGGAACCGTTGCCTATCAACTGAGCCGTTGCAGTGTATAAATAAAGTCTGGATTTTTTTTTTTTCCATTGAGTTCTTCCCTTCGGCCGAAAAGCTATGTCGTGTAATTATATGTGTTTTAACATAAATCTTAATTCTTAGATACGACAAAATATAATGTGTTTCATATTCTTTCGTGGGGTAGTCATTTGTGGTAGTATTCCCTTATTATAGAACAAGTATCATGCCTGTCTCTTACGGCACTGGTAAAGTGCAAGGAAGGCAGTGTCAAAACTCTGGTGGTTGACCTTCCCACGCGGCGGCCAAGGTTTTAGCCCGGGTCACATCATGTGGGATTTGTGGTAGATAAAGTGGCACTGGAGCAGGTCTTCTCCGAGTACTTCGGTTTCCCCTGCCAATTCATATTCCACCTATTGCTCCACATTCATCATCATCTGTCTTGTGGGGCTGGTTACAATAGGCCAAAAAAGCGGCAGCTGTACCAAGTGGACTCAGTCTCACCCCATCAGAGAGAGGGAGAGAGAGAGAGAGAGAGAGAGGAGGAGAAGAAGAAGAAGAAGAAGAAGAAGAAGAAGAAGAAGAAAAGTTAACCACCACTGTCTGGGAATCTTCAAACTACACATTTCTTTGTGTATGTATTAGCCAAACCAATTACCTCTCTGACTTATTTCACTGAAGAATTGAGTTGTACGAAACCAGTTATAAGTTAATCAAGTTCATGAACACTGTTCTTGTTACGATTGGTGGTTATTTCTTGTCTCTTAACGTGGAGATCCACGTGTTCCTTTTCTGATCAATGGCTCTGTAGTTTGTCGCATAAGCTCCCTTATGACACCCTCCCCTTGGTGTAGGTTTCTAGAACCTGTCATTCTGTTTAAACACTCCATGGATCATAATGTTTGGTTGCATTCTGTGAGGCACTTATCACGCTGTCATATCTGCTGAAGCATTATTGTAGTTCTGTGTTACTGTCTTACGCTGCCATATTTCCTGTTCTGTTCTTTTGTTACTGCTTGAGGGAATACCTTCAAGCATTCTTCTTATTTATTAGCCTATTTTGTTGCTATATTTTGTAATGGAATTATTTATTTTCATTTGTAATGCTCAGTTGTGCGAAGCTGATAATTGAGCCTGTTACATCCACTTTAATATTATCCTGATACTCTTCTTGTTCAAATCTAAGTGTTTATTCTTGCACAATCCAATATCACATCGGGAGAATTGTACACCCAACTGCGGAACCTGAAGATATAGAAGTAGCACTATGTATGATTGGGGGCTTTCTAGCCGTGGGCACGAAGAGTTCTCTCTTCTGGGATATAACGTATTGCTACCCATTTCACGAAGGTTTCTTATTTGCTTTTTCTTCGATCCTGAAAATGCAGGCGTTATTTCCCCCGGAATCATAATTTTACTTCAGTTAATTATACTGCCTTATATCGCAGAAGATCTAACCGGAAGTGGCACTGTCTGATAGTGGTGAAGGATAAGAGGAAACGGAACGTGACGCTAGCCAAATTTCACTATGAGCACATGGACGTTTCATTTACTGATTTTCTGGGCCTTAAAATCAGAATTTTCTTTTAACTCAAGTCGCAGTTTGACCCTGAGAAATTGTTTGCTTCTGATTGATTTACATTGTTATCTACCGCGTAGTAGAATTGCATTTCTTATAGTCACTTTCTGATTCTGCTAAGTGCATGTTTGGTTATACATTCAGACCTGTTGATGTATGTTTCCTGCTTGTATCAGCTTCCAGTCGCGTGCATGCAAGCCCTGACCCTTCAGGTGGCAGTGGGACTTGTTACCCGATGCAATATCCCGCCATATGGCGACTACATCATCAGACGGCGCTGCCAAGCGCTTACAAGTTATGCTATAACAGCAGCTAGATAAATTCTACAGAAGGGGTAAACACAGGTATACAAACCCAGAACAATTATTATTTAGCCGAAGACGACCTCCTGTACGGGAGGATGAAGTGTTGTGGCTAGGGACATTGTCGTGATTGCTCATCTTGTGTTTCTTGCGGTAGGTAGTCTTCCAATAATTCGGGAAACGTCTCTGTCCCTCGATAGTAGTTATGAAGGAGTCCCAGGCACCAAACTGTACCTTGTATAAGGGGTGGGCCTTCTTGGTCCTTGCACCGCGACCACAGTGATCTATTGTGCCTTGAGCTTTACCTCAGATCGAGAGGATTTCCAACAGAATCGTGGTGGGGAGTTTGGGGGGGGGAGTTTTGCTTCGTCGAGAGTGTTCTTGAAGAGTCAGAAAAACCAAAAATATTCATAATGATTTTCTGTTCGCTCGCAGGTGATACTAAAGGACGTCATGTTTTCTGGTCCACTAAAAGAAGCTCCGTCCTCTGCTGAGAAGTTCAGGTAAGTTCACCAAGTAAATAAGTAAATAAATAAGGGGAAGGAAATAACAGAGAGTGGCATTTTATATTAACATTATTTACCATTGTTTAGATCTTGTCGCATGTTAGTGAGTAGACACTGGATTCGGATTGAATATTGAATTTATTGAACGCTTATTTATCTTATCAACTAATAATTACAACACTTCGCTTTTACTGCAAACACTGAAAATAACTGATGTACACCCCAATCCTTCCAGTGTGCTATGTGTCCACGTACTCGTCGCTTAATAGCGGCTACTAACAACAGGTGTTCCTTTTACTGCTTCCCTGTTCAACCGGCATTGTCCTCGACTGCTGACGACTGACTTCTAACCATAGACTGCTCTTTTCGTTTAGGGCCGCATAAAAGCACCAATTCCATCAGCTCCTATATATTTTTGTGCTTATTCCGTGCAGTGGGAACAGTTTACTTTGCTGCTGCCTAGCAATGAAAGATTCCTGTGGCCCCATTCATGTTATAGGTGCCATGTCACATGGTCCACCAATTAAATCTGCTGCTCTTGAGTAGCCTAAAGAGCTACCGATTCTAACTGGATTCCGGGATGATGGAGAAATCTCCCTTGTAAGAAGGTAGTGAGCTCAGATGTAGTAAAATCACTTTTAATATCCACTTCCATAGGAGAACCAACTTTACTAACATCCAAAACTCTGTGACTTCAACAATTTCGTTACTCCTTCTAGGAGTCAGCTGTATCCCTCACGGCTGAAGGTAACGATAGAGTTCTTGGAACGGATCACAATTACAGTAGACCGTCATATTCTGACAACCCGAGCCCATGGCCTAGTTTCTGTAGACCGTGCTCAATAGCCTACATAAAGGGCAGAGCCACTCCTCCAAAGGTACATCGATCAGACGAGGAATCAGACAGTCCAGATGGAAGAAATGACCACAACCAAGACAAAGAATCATGTTTTCCTCGCTATCATATACACCACAAGCCTCACAATATACTGGTCCCTGCACAATTATCGGTTCATACCTGATTTGTCGCGGTGGCGGTGTAACAGGGATTGTTTCGATAACCTCTCTGTCCGAGTAGCGACTAACAACTAGTATGTTGTTATACACCTGTCGATCAACCGGACAAGTATTGACAATCTTTGACCATTCCTTGAGACAGACAGCACAGAATATGTGTTCACAAGTGTCTGGTATCCCAACTTCCTGTTTTGTGAAAGCGACCAAGCAAACGGGACACTTTTCTGATTCCCCTTCGCTACTACTGTCGGAAACGGAAACAGAAGGGAGACCTGCTGCAGAGGATGTTGATGGATTCGCTACTCCGCCAGACTCTGTTGTCGAAGCAGCACCAGACTGATGAGGGGATATACAAATTTCCTCTGTTGTGGGAGCAGCACCAGACTGATAAGG